TCTCCTCTTCTTCCTGAGGTTTTTTTTAGACACTAAACAGTATCACCTGCTCCTTGTTGGTTTACTCACCTTCAGTAAAGCAACACACCCAATCTTTCCAACCCACAGGTGACTGCAGCGCGTTGGAGTTCAAATGTGGGGATGTGTGCATTCCCGCCAGTCTCTGGTGTAACGGCGTCGACAACTGCAGGGACCGCAGCGATGAGAAAGGCTGCTCACGGACCAGACCTTCTCATGGGCGTAGTGGCTCTAGAGGTGCATCTGGGGGTAGCGTGGACATCGATGGGGCTGTCAAACGTGGAGGAGATGGAGGAGATATTACCCCTGGAGATAGTGCCGCTGGTATATGACACATTTTGTTTACGATTTTTAAATAATAATTCGTATTGGTAATTTAAAAATTGCGTGGTCTCTAGGCATGGTGTCCGCCTGGAGTGCTAGAGATTCCGGGTTGCATCCCCAGTAAGAGCTGGGATTTTTTCACTTGGACTTCTAGTAATTCCCCCTGGTCTCTCGGTAGTGACATCGGACTCCCGTGTGCACTGTTGCGCACGTAAAAAAAAATCCCTTGGCAGTTGGAAATCGAAAAGAGTAGCCTAACGGCGCTGCCGAGGAAAAATTTGGAGTTAAAAATCTACCCGAAGTATTTCAGGACCCTTGTCGGTGCCACAAAGCCTGTGCACTGTGCGGAGCTTCTTCGGACTCCGACTTGAGTTAGAAAAGAAGAAAGGAGCACTTATGGGTTACTACGGTTGTACCATGATGTTGATCCGTTGTTCAAAACCTCAAAACCTTAATGTGAAATATATTTGTGGTGCTGGCAATTGTTGGTTAAAAGTGGATGCTGCTCTTGAGATGAGTCAAAACATACTGCAGAGTTACTGATTACTGATTTCATTTTCAACTGCAGGAAAACTTCTCCGCAGATATATATAAAAGCAGCCTATAACTCCGCCCCAAACTGGGAGGGGGTGGTGGTGGTGGGGGAGGGGGGGCGGGCGTTATTTTAAAGATTCACCCCGGCTGTCGTCACGGGAGCTTAAGCTGTTTGATGCCCTCCATCCTTGAATATGTATTAGAAGGCAAAAACCTCCTCCAGCCCCCGCCCACCCTTTCCCCCTCCTGTGGATGTTTCTGCTGAAAAGTGCCGATGTGCTCATAAAAAGACAACAAACAACAAATAACAGACAAACAAACAAACTAAACAAACAACGACAAAACCTCACATCCTAAATGTATTTGAAGACACTGTAACACTATAATTCAATCTTCCCGCCAAAAGGCAATCCTCCGATATAAGGAGAGCAGCCAGTTACATGGCACGGCGAACGCCGGAGAGATTCAGCTGTAGTGCTTGTCCGCGACTAAGCCGTTTGTTTGTTTGTTTGTTTGTTTGTTTGTTTTAGTCTCCAGAAGCCATGAGTTGTTAACCCTTAAGCTCGGTATTATGGATATCGCAACCTTTCGGCCTTGATTCCACTGTAAATACCGTAAATCTGGGAGAAATGTAGCTTTTCTTCCTACCCCCGGGAGTGAACCCGAACCACAAAGAGTTCGTCACCCGGTCACCGCGCAATCCGGTTTAGCCAGCTACGCTAGAGAGACGGGCATTAAGCCGTTTAAAAACGTATGCACACTTTAACAGACGAAATATTAAAGTTTTTCATTTCGAAACGTTAGTTGATAGGGAAACAGAGAAAGTGGGGGCGGGGGGGGGGGGGGTGGGGGGGTGAGAGAGAGAGAGAGAGAGAGAGAGAGAGATAGAGAGAAAGAGAGAGAGAGAGAGAGAGAGAGAGAGAGAGAGAGAGAGAGAGAGAGAGAGAGAGAGAGAATGACAGGATGTGCTGAGTCAAAACATGAGGCTCCTAAGCCCAGCGCCCTATTGTTTTTGTTGTTGGTGGTGAGGTGGAGGTGAAGGTCCTAGAGGAGGGTGTAGGAGGAATGGATGCCAAGCTTGTGTTCCAATAATAATAATAATAATAATAATAATAATAATAATAATAATAATAATAATAATAATAATAATAACAATAACAATAATAATAATAATAATAATAATAATAATAATAATAATAATTATTATTATTATTATTATTATTATTATTATTATTATAACAATAATAATAATAATAATAATGTGCTGAATTCTTTAAAAAATGCATATATCTATCTACTCAACCTTCTGTCTGTTTTCTGTCTGTCTTTCTGTCTGCCTGTTTAATTAGCACACGTAATGGTTCCCCAGGCTCTGCCAGCAACACAAACACGGTCCCCATCTACATCATCATCGCCGGGGCCATTGGCGGCGTCCTGCTCACCTGCGCCTGCATCTCCGTCTGCATCATGTTCCGGATCCGCAGGAAGAAACGAGACAAGAGACAGGAAGCTGCTCGTCAGAAATCCACACAGAGGAACGCCCTAGAGATGGCAGTCACCAACAGCTCCAACACCACACAGTCCTTGTCCAGACAGAACAACGAGAGCCAGGGCATCAGACAAGGTAGACAACTATATCACTGTATTTATTTATACACTGTCTGGTCCATTTAAAGATCGGTCTGTTCACCCATAGATCTTCCCATCCATTGTTTTTCCCCATCCATTTTTTAGATCTTTGCCAACTTTGATCTTTCCATTCCTAGATCGTTCCATCCATCTTTATAGATCTTTCCATTCACAGATCTTTCCATCCATCTATAGATCTTTCCATTCACAGATCTCTCCATCCATTTATAAAGATATGTCCATCCATTTATTGATCGTTCCATTGGTAGATCTTTGCCAACCTTGATCTTTTCATTCCTAGATCGTTCCATCCATCTGTATAGATCTTTTTCTCCTCAGATCTTTCCATTCACACATCTTTCCATCCATCTATAGATCTGTCCATTCATAGATCTCTCCATCCATCTATAAAGATATGTCCATCCATTTATAGATCGTTCCATTGGTAGATCTTTCCATCCATCTAAATTGATCTTTCTCTCCTCAGATCTTTCCATTCATTGATCTTTCCATCCATCATTCAATCAATCTTTCCGTTCATAAATCTTTCCATCTATCTATTGATCTTTCTATTCATAGATCTTTTCATCCTTCTATATAGATCTTTCTTTCCTTGGATCTTTGCATTCATAAATCGTTCCAGCCATTCATTCAGTCGTCCCTTCATCCATTTATCCATAAATGCTTTCATGCAGTTAGCGATAGACCCAACCACAGATCCATACATACATACATACACCCATACATCCATAATCAATCCATCCACCCATTCATATATCCATAAATGCTTTCATGCAGTTAGCGATAGACCCAACCACAGATCCATTCATACATACATACATACACCCATACATCCATAATCATTCCATCCACCCGTCCATTTATCCATATATATATATATATATTCATTTATCCATTTATGCACAGAATAAAGACATTCAACCCTAAACCAACAATTTTTGCATCTATAACCGAGCTCCAACCTGGAATTATTTGGGGGGGGGGGGGGGGGGCATAGGAGCCAGTGGAAAGTTTTCACGGGAGCGTAAAGGAATTGATCATCAGGAATTGATATTTTAGTGGATGTTTGGCGACACCTCTTTTGACCTGAAGTTCTTGTAGTCTCTTGAATCTTGTGGATTCAGCGATGTCTCCCACTACTCGTCCTACCACTTTGAGAGCTTTCAGAACATCGGCCCGGTCCATTGCTTGTCCTTTACCTACCGTAGCCGCGTCAGCCGGCCACTCTGCTTGTTTATTCCCTCTTACTCCACTTTTTTCAACGCTGATAGAAGGCTGCCAAGAATCTTCTAGCGCTGTCTTCCTTGTTTTCCACAGAACTTACCAGGGGTCACAGTATGTTCCATATGCCTGTCTTCATGGCAACAAAACAGCAGACTTCGTCAACATATATTCAAACTTTTCGGTGTCGGAAACATGAAGACGTGTCCCTGCAGCGTTGCATCAGAAAATACTGAGCATGTGCTCCAACACAGTCAACTGAATGCTGACAACAGAGAAGGAGTCTGGTCTGTTCCAAGCACAACGAAGACACAGCTGTATGGTACACGGGGAGACGGGGACTGCAAGATAACTTTCTTAAAAGGCTACCTGTCTCCTCATACAAGTTTTATAACAGAAGAATTGAAAGAGAAGATAAAGAAGAGATCAAGTTTTTTCCTCCAAGTTTTTGTTATCATTACTTTGGATTTCTCATTTTGTCCTCCTCTTTTTTATTAAATCTAAGTTTGTAATGCTGGGCTGGTGCGGAGGTTAGATGTCACTGGTCTATACATCCATTAACCAGGTGTAACCGGCTTTCCTATGTGCGTCAGGACTGAGTGGCTGGGGGTCGGTCTCAAGGGGCGAGGTACTTAGCCCCATTTTACATTTTCTAGGGGATCGGGACTGGCAGCCCCATACCCCAAGCCCCCCTAGGAATTATTAGGGGAGCTCAACCCTTAGGCTTCACTAAAAAACAATGATGAAAGCTCACTCTGTCTAAGCATCCGAGTTCGGTACCTTAAATGTTGTCAGACCTTTGATAAGCGATATTTTTCAAAGTACACACACACACACACACACACACACACACACACACACACACACACACACACACACACACACACATGTAGTTTTTTGCATAATTAATGATTTATTTATGGTCCCATTCTGACATTTCAGGCGCTCTCGGCGATCGTCAGCATTACGTCACTTTCTCGAAAATCAACCCGGTGGCTCCGACCCCAATCAAGGACAACTCCCATCGCTACAGCCTCACTGAACACGGCATGACCTCCCTTGGTGAAGACGTCATCCCCGAGCAGATGACCGAGTCCGGAAACTACAAGAGATTCCTAGCAATGGACATGGATCCAGACATCATGAGCGAGTCTTTCCACCAGCAATTCCAGGGGGTGTACCCTGTCTCCCCCGGAGGCGTCATGGGAATGACCAATCTTGACTACCGGATGGCGGATAGTTATCAGGGTTACCACGGTAACCAGTGGCATCCGAACGTCAAAGATGACGCCATGATGTACCCATATAGTCCTTCCGGGTCGAGTCCATTCCTGGGAATTTCAAAGTCTTTCTCTTACAGCCAGCCGGAGAGTAAGTTTGAGAGCAAATATTTGAAGTCGTTAAAAGCAGCAAAAGACAGTGAAGCGATTACAGAGTATCAGGGTTCTTAGAGTCGGACTGTGCGATTACAGAGTATCATGGTTCTTAAAGTCGGTCTGTGAAACTGAAGGAACCTTCTTGAGGTGGATTGACACCGGGTAGGGAATAAAGCGAGTGTTTCTAATAACATTTGCTGTGTATATGTTTGATTAAGGAGCACTGTTGGTAATACAGTGTCCTAATGCCTGAGAACTTGGAAGACGGGACAGAAAAAAAACTGATTCGGGACTACGCTTTCAGGAACAGGATTTTGTCAAACATGACCTTAGCTCTCAGTTCAGCCTAGTTTTAAATTTGTTAACATGTAAATTTATCGGAAGCGCAGACGGTCCCTGTGGTGATAGCATACCCCACTGAGTGCCGCTTGGTCTATTGGTCTAGCAATAAAAGCCGCATACGCCAGAACGCTCGGAAAAGGGTCCTTTACTTTAGTATGTCTAGAGCAGAAGACAGTTTGATCACAAGCCAAACAGGCAAATTACATTATGAATACAAAATTCAAATGTCTTCGTAATTCAATGCTTCTGTGGAATAATCTAAGATTGTAAACCTTAGCTACGATTATAGCCAGACACACTTACCCCCTGAAGCGCTTCTATATATTCCTAAATGTGTCTGTTCAAGCTGGTTTTTTACAGAAGTCCTATTACTGAGCAAGAGGGGGAAGCAGATTGTATAGTAATGTTACACCAGGGAATAGTTTGCTCATCCCCTAGCCTAAGGTTTGGAGATTGCGACAGGGAGAGAAAGAGCTAAGAGTAGGGGGAGGAGGAGGAGGAGGAGGAGGAGGAGGAGGAGGAGGAGGAGGTTGGACAAGTTGCAGCGTCAGCAGCAGAAGAAAATAAACACAACACTGACAGCAGCGGTAATGGTCGCAAAAGTAGCCAAAATTGCTATAACCGCAAGAACATCAGCAACAACAACATCATCAGCAACAACAACAGCAGCAGCATAAGCTGCAGCAACAAAAGCAGCAGATGCAACAATAGCAGCAACATCGGCAGCAGCAGCAGCAGCCGAACAAGTGCAACAAAAGCATCCACTGCCAAAATAAATCCTGCAGCATCAGTTATGAAAACAAGAGGAGCACCGTAGTGTAGTACAATCAGATAGCACAATAGAAAGGTTAAAATGGATGACGCCATGAGAGCAGTGTGTGTGTTATTGTGTATGTTTGTGTGTGAGTGTGTGTGTATCTGTGGGCAATAAATCCAATGGTTAGTAATGCGTGAAGGAGGGAGATCTGGAAGGATGTAAGAATAAAGGAAGAAACGATTGCGAACAGAGAGGTGAGCGTCTGAGAAGAAACACACTCAATACATACGATGACTGCAACGGTTCTGTAATCCCATACATTAATTGCGAAAGACTTGTCTTAACGCGAACGAGTCTTGCTCGTCACACTCGCCATGGCCATAGGTTGTGATTCCCCTTGCCTCCTCATAGCCAATAGCACACTATATAACACTATCGTCTGGAAAGGCGGCCGGCCTGATATCCACCATATCCCTCACCAAATGCCGATGGGTCTATACAATATAGATATACAATATAGAAGATTTTCATAAACATACCTTGATTCTGACAATAAAGTTGACTACCGAACGATAACATTGCCGATTATGGAAATAAAATGGATAACTGTAACAAAACTGGCTGTCTCCGTGCATTTGATAATGTTAATCATGTCAATACTAAACTATTGTTCCTACAGCTGTGACAGGAAAGCAATTATCTTTACACACACACACACACACACACACACACACACACACATATATATATATATATATATATATATATATATATATATATATATGTGTGTGTGTGTGTGTGTGTGTGTGGTGTGTGTGTGTGTGTACAGAAACCGCAGTGCTACTTAGGAAAGTAACCCCATGTTCTGCCCTACGTTGTACTGGTGTTCTGATATGCCTTCCTTCGCCGTCTGAACACAGTGTGCCGAAAAGTAGTTCGGGTTCGTTCGACGAGGTCCACACACATTGTCTCCCAGACGAAACTGTACAGCTTTCTTTTCGCAACTCTTATTTCTGTGAACGAATGTTGTTTCTGGAATGTGTTATTGTGGTGTTTAGGTATCAGGTACCGAAGGCGCCTGTGTGCAAGGTAGAAGTATTGCAGGGGAAGCGCCGAAGGTGCGACGGTTCATAAGTATCAAATCATTGATGCTTTTGTATTTCTACCCTCATTGTCGGTGGTTGTCGTCGGTGGTACATGTGTTTAAAACGGTCTTCTTCTTCTTTTCGCGTTCACCAGCTGTAAACTCCGGCGGAAGGTTCTGGTTGCTCGTCCACT